GGGGAGACTCCTAAGTACGATTTACATCCCATTTTTTTTTAACTTTTTTATTTTATTGTTTTTTTTTGGTTTTTAAAATTTTTTTGTTTTTTTGTTTTCTTTTTATTTTTTATGATGAAGTGAGCACCCAGCCAACTAAGACAAGATGAAGTGATTGAACTGACCTTCAAGGGCATGGTCAAGGTCATGATCAAAGTCACAGGCGGACGTAAAATTTTCCGCTGTTTCCATTCCTGTGGTCAAAAATATGTGTTCCTATTTAAAAAAGTAAATTTGACTTTGAAATGACATTCAAGGTCACGGTCAAGGTCAAATCTCAGGTCACTATTGAATAGCCAGGAAAAAAATCTAAGACTTTTGTCTGAAACTTTTTTCCCCAAAGTGCATTCCTCCACAGTTATTTGGCCGTTTCCATACTTTTGGATCAACCTGTATTAATATATTAATAATTATATAGTAGATATAAACACATCAAAAATATTAGTTATTTAATTTTTATTTCGAACTGTATGGCTATTATATATACTATTATTACTCATCACAAATTGATGTGTATTAATAAAAAAAAATCCACGTCACTTATATGACACACAACCAAACAAAACACACACACGCCTACAATAAGGGCTCCGCAGCACAATAAAAAGAACAGGGAACAAAGAACAGAGAATAAGAATTTCAACCTATCAGAAATAATATATATTATGTAGATATTTTCTTTTTGACTCTTGAACAGTTCAATATGTTTTCCAAGTCTTGGATTCCACAACTTAACTTATTGTTAACATAGAATCTGGAAATTATGTGTTCAATAAGTTCGACTAATTTTTGTAATAAAAAAACGACAATTAAAACGACAATTGGCTTTTGAATTATTTGACATGATTTTATGGACTAAAAAAATTTTTGTAACAATAACCTAAACAATAACCTAAGCGTCAAATACTTCGAAAATATAATTGTAATCGAGCGTGTAAAATGTTCTATCTCATTATGATAACGTGAATAAAATTTATGCGAAATTAGGTGTTCTCAACATTATGTAAGTCATAACATATTAATTTTGTAATACTAAAGATGGCCTGATATAAAGCCGAAACGTCTATATTATTGTCTTGTTTTTATTCTAGTGTAATCTATTAAAATATAAATATTTCGCTGCTAACAGTTTGCTCGTGGTGTATGCCTTTTTAATCACATTGTTTTAATATATTATGGAATACACAGTTTCTGATAGGTTGAAATTCTTATTCTCTGTTCTCTGTTCCCTATTCCTTCTATTATGCGGAGCCCTTTACACACATATTTAACCGCCATTTTGAGGGCATTTTCGCTGAATGTCCAGACTTTCTTCTTCTAGAGACTCTATAGGATGGAAGATTGCGGGTGTTTTCCATCTACAACACAGCGATCACCTCATTTGTTTAACATTGACAACAAGGATGTAACGATTTGCCGTGTTATACCGTGAGTGAAATCACACAGTGCGGAATAGGACTGCGGAATAGAGAAAGAGTCATTGAAACAACCACTCAGCGCTATTCCACATTTGATGTTGCGGAATAGCGAGTGCGTCATTATTCTTGTAATAAACCGTCGTATTTTGAGAGGTTAAAATAATTTGATACTGATTGATGGAATTGCATAATATCGAGACGAATGAAGCAAAATGAGAAAATCTGAGTGCATAAATATAGATACCAAAATCAACAAAAAAATAATGATGCATTACGTGCCCTTTTCCGCATTTTTCCATCACGCTGATGCAGAAAAATGATAGTAAATGCGTTAAAACAGTTCAAAAAATTGTTATGAGATTATAAATATTAATTGTAAAACATTAAATACTGCAACAGTGATAATTGTTTTTACAATTTGAAAAATTATATTTCATTTTAATAAGCAAATTATTAGCATGAAGTTAGTAATTTTTAAATTATATTCACGTTGGATACATCTTTGACGCATCATGTGAACATATCACATTTGCATGATGGAAAAGTTCGGAAAAGCGCTGATTGATTGCTTTAATGACGCATTCTGTATTCCGCAGTCCTATTCCGGACCGTGTGATTTCACTTCTGTGTCTCTTGTTGGATAATAATTTTATACGTAGATACAATTTTTTTACATTAAAATTCAGATGATCCAGATGACTTATGTATTTCTTATTTCGTAGCTATGTGTAAAATGAATATACTCTAAAGCGCCAACCGAAAATTAGCAACCATAACCAGAGTATTCGATTATGCTTTTCTGCTGTGTCTAATTGTGCCGTGGCGTGTCGTTGTTGGAAAGCACCGCGTCCGATGCTGTTTCGATGTGTGTCGCCTAAAAGCCTTGATGGAAAGTAGAAAGCCTACAATCAGAGGGACGCCACACGGGTATCACTTGTGATTGGTCCGCCATGTTTTAGCCATTCCCGTCAGTTTTTTAAATTATTTTCTATATTTTGAATTCATATTAAAAAATGCTCAAAAATTGTGACAAATTAAAAAATGATAATAAATAAATATTGTATATAAAATAATAAAACTTTTACATATATTATTTATTATAAAATTTCATTTATTTTGTACTATTGTAATATTGTACATTTTGTAATATTGCATATTACTTTATACAAAACGTTATTTATTGCACATTATTTGCTCTATTAAATCCGCTAGTTTATTATTCATTCTCTGTTCCTACATTTAGGAGCAAAATGCATTTGTAATAATATAAAAAAAATAAAAAATTCAGAAAAATATTATATATATATAAAATATTATATATTAATATCGTATTAATTATCATATTATTTGATTTAGACTCACAATGCAATGATATATAATTGAAAAGATTACGACAAAAAGAGAAAGAGTTAAATTCGTAACCAATGTGATGACTGTACATATACTTAGTGCTAAGACACTATCGTATCTTCAGATATTATAATTAATCTGTGTATATTTTATGTTACATTTTTATTTTAATATTTTAAATACATTATTTATAAAGAATAATTACTTTATCTCACATACAGATTTTTTGACGGTGTTCAATTTTTATATTTGCCATTATACTCTTTAACCAATTCATTCGGCGTTCTGTGTCTTTCGGAATTATTTTCATAACATATCCATTTTTTAATGAATTGTTACAAAACGGTATTGTGCATCCAACCATATTTCTAAAATAATTTCGATAATTTTATTTTTATCAATGTACCTTTACGTATCTATGTCGTTCGATGCTGTTGCACCTAATCCTAAAACTAACAGTCTGTTGGATAGACTGAGACCGTATATCTCTTTCTTTCTCGCAGAATTTCGCTAAAATATGATATTATTTCTCGTATGGCACCACTCTGATTATAGGCTCTCTAATGGAAAGCACCCTGTAATGCATTCTGGTGTTACATGAAATTAAATTGCATTCCAACAAGTACTTTACACAGTGAAACATAGCGTAACGTCTCTGTATCCTAGCTGAAAAACAGCCATTATCGGCATTTTAAAGCATGCACAGAGAGAATGAATGTCCATGTCTTTCTTACACGCATCTTCTTATACATATATCTTTTTCTCTCACGCATCTTGAACACAATTCTGGGTATCAATCATGAAACTTTGTCCCTAGAATGAAAAACGAAAAGTGAAAATTTTAACCATTGAAGTTAATGGAGAAATTTTTCACTTTTCATTTTTCATCCTAAGAAAAAAGTTTTATGATTGATACCGTGAACCACAATGCTCCCTTCATGCCTATAAAGGCTTAAACACAATAGGCACAGGCAATAGGCACAGGCAACAATGAATAACGAGCCGTCTAATCAGAGTTCTGGTGTATAAGTTCGATATTATCCCAACAGAGGGTCGATTCTGTATTTTCAAACAAAGTGAAAATTACAAAAGTGAGTGAATTTATTAGAATACTGATAATTTTATTGGTCAACTAGTAAATTTGTTTACTTTTGTAATTTTCACCTTGCTTGAAAATATAGAATCGACTCCCAGGACTATTCTAAAACTTTTTAACATGCGTTATATGGCTTATAACGCATGCTTTACGATTTCATATTCTGTAAATGCGTCTTAACGCATAGCATCGTCAATTTACGTTGCATTTGCGTTAAGTTTGCGTTATATTAAATTTCACTAGAAAGTTGTATTCTGTGAGTCATTTTAACGCAATTCGTAACATATGCCCTTGCATTATGTAAAGTAATGCTAACGCCGACTTTTGGACAGCGTTAAATGTCATAACGCAAGTTAGGTGTTATGATACGCAGTTATATCAACGCAGTTAAATATTGAGTCATCTAAAAAGTATCCGCGGTTTTTTGTCATTAGATGTGTGTTGATGGTCATATATCTAGTGATAAAGTACCGTGGATACTTTTTAGATGACCCAATAAATATTTTTAAAATGTGTTAAATAAATATTTTAACAATAAGATTGGAAACAAGATTATGTTAAATAACATTACTTTTTAAATACGAAGCGCCGTTACGGTCTGAATGTTGAGATGTTGAATTAATATATATATTACTAATATATATATTATTAATATATATATTCATATAAATGAATTAATTTCAGAAATAATAATTGCGTACCGATATGGTTGTCGGACTTTCAACGCAATCAATCTGAAATATTAATAATCCCCCCAAATTTCCCAAATTAATCTTAAAAAAAGGCCGAGGCAATATTTTTCGCAATAAGTTTATTACACTTTTTTAAGATTAATTTGAGAAATTTGGGGGGATTATTAATATTTCAAATTAATTACGTTGAAAATCCGACAATATCGGCACGCAATTATCATTTCTGAAATTAATTCATTTATACGAATATATATATTAGTTCAACATTTCAACATTCAGACCATAACGGCGCTTCGTATTTAAAAAGTAAATATTTTAAATTTAAATATTTTAAATGTGTTAAATAAATATTTTAAATTTTTCTGTCTTTTCTGTAGCTTCTCAGCAAACAAGAATGGATTAAAATGAATTAAAATTTTTTTCTATTCGAATGCGTATTTTAAATAGCGAATTTTTTTTTTATTTAATTGGATTCAATTGAATTCAATTAGATTTAATTGGATGCAATTGGATTGAAAAACTGCTTTTCCTATTCAAAATTTTGAATTGAACAGTATGCACAAAAAAGCTAATATTATTTTTAGATTGAAAGGCATAGAGATATGTTCCATGCAATTCCTATAAATGAATAAAAATGCATTCAAAATTGAAAAGCATTCATTTTAACATTCGTGGATCAATATTTCTGAAAAAAATCTGAATTTATTACCTTAGGCCCGTTCTACAATCAGTTGTATGTCGCTAGTCATTTGTCGTATGTTGTATGTCGCTCATGAATACGACTTGCTATTCTACAATTAAGTCGTTGATCAAAGTCGGAAGGTCGGAACAAATGTAAAGAATAAATATTGAAACGTTGAATACATATTCAAATTTATTATTAATTTGGACGCAAATTATATGATTGTATAATAGAATAATGCGATTCCACTTGCTTGACGACTACTATGCATTGATTTAATTAGTTTTATAATATTGAAAAAGATCAAAACAATGATCGAAACGTATATTATTAAGTTATTAAACTTGAATAAATTTATACACAAATTCATATCCTGTGTCAGCTCTTATATTTCTTAAGTTTGATACAAAAGAAAATTACTTGACATGTTATATCATAATAGTTTCTCAAATTTGTGAATATTTTTTATCACAGATTCTTTTTTTGCCAACATTTTTAAAATCCACATCATTTATCATACAAGCAATGATTTTTGCGAACAAAATCAATAATTATTTTATCTACATTCAGTAATTCCATAATATAATATAAATATATTCATATATCCGTATAAAAATATCTGTTTATCCATACACAAATGTGTCCGAAGGTTATGTTTCATCTAGTCGTAGTCGGAAAATATGGGAATTGACCATCTTCTATTTCGACAACGATAGCCGACTTGCGACAATTTCATTCGACAACCGACAATCCAAGTTTTTTGCAATTTTTATCCACTCATCGTCTTCCTACGGACATTGGAGATATCTTGATTGTAATACTTCCCATATGGCACAAACCTCGAGAATAATATTGGGTCATCTAAAAAGTACTTTGTCACTAGATATATGACCGTCAACACATATCTAGTGATAAAAAACCGCGGATACTTTTTAGATGACCCAATACTATATAAAGTCGATTTTCCAATCCGAAAAAATGATGCACGCTATCTCCATGAGCAAGAAAGCTAAAAATAAATTTAAATTTGTGATAAATTTCATATTTTTGAAAACAAATAAAATATAAGTAAATTATATTAACAATATCCGCAATAGAGGATAATGAATACCAGGTGTACAAGTATGAAATGCGGATTTTTTTTTAAAAATACGTTAAATTCGGAAGAATGATAAAAAGTGGTTTATTCAAAGTATGCTCAAAGTATAGCATTGCTAGTTACACATTTTTCCTATCTTTAATTTGTGGATACCACGTCAGTAAAAATCTTCCCCTTTTGCCGCGAACTATTCATCGAGCCATTTTTTCACATCTTGGTACGAACCAAAGCGCTGCTCAGCAAGTGCGTAACCCATCGATGCAAACAAGTGGTAATCGGAAGGAGCCACGTCTGATGAGTAAGCCGCATGGGCTAGCACTTCCCAGCTGAGTGCTTCCAACGTGTCGCGAACCGGTTTTGCCGTATGTGATGGAGCATTGTCATGGAGAAAAATGATCTTGCCTTTTTCGATATTCTGGTTGTTTTTCGAGTAGCGAACGGTTCAAATTAATCAATTGTTGTTTGTAGCGTTTGGTATTAATCGTTTCAGCAAGCTTTAACAGCTCATAATAGACCACATCCTTCTGGTCCCACAGAGCATCATCTTTCTGCCAAAGCGATTCGGTCTTGCGGTCAATGGTACGCCTCGGTCTACTCATGATTTTTTGCGCTTGGGATTCTCAAAATATATCCACTTTTCATTCCAGTAATGATACGATGCAAGAACGACTTTCTTTTGTATCGTTCGAGCAAAATTTCACATGTGTCTTTGCGCCTCTCCATCTACCTCTCGTTCAACTCATGTGATATCTGCCGACCTTCTGAATCTTTCCCATCTCTCGTAGGCGATTGGAAACAGCTTGTTGACTAACGCTTAATTGCTCTGCGAGTTGTTTTTGTGTTTGTTAATCGTCTTCGTCCAACTATGCTTGCAATTCTACATCTTCGTACCTTTTTGACGGTTTTCCGTGTTCCTTGTCTACAACATCGAAATCATCACTTTTGAAATCATCGTTCACACGTATCTTGCGATGGAGCATGTTCACCATAAACTTCTCGAAGTAATCGATATGATTCAGTAGCAGTTTTCCTCAAATGAAAACAAAAAATTAATGCTGTCCGCGAATGCTCTTCATTTGGCACAATTTCGACATATTGGACACAGCAAAACAATACTATGCAAACTTTTTCAATTTATCACTTATGCGCGTTTGACACTTGTGATGGCACAACAAAATGGCATATATGTCAAATCTTTATACTACACACTGCATTGGTGCACCATCTGTTGTCTCAAATCCGCACTTCATACTTGTACACCTGGTAAACTAACTTCAATGTGCAAAACGTATCTATTGGCAAAGGTTTTCTATGACTTTTTTTGCGTAATTTTGATTTTAGTAAATCATATAATATAAATAATCAAATTGTGTTACAGACATCCTTGTAAGTTTAAAAAATTCTTCATGATCATTCATTTGAAAGTATATAAATAATGTGTGATGAGCATTAAAATTCTGTCTCATATTTGTGGTAATATGAGGTTTTACTCACCATCTTCTTGTACTTTTTTTTTGCGTTTCTTTAAAAGTAATCTTATTTTCATAATTTGCGTCCAAATTAATAATAAATTTGAATATATATTCAAGGTTTCAATATTCATTCTTTACATTTGTTCCGATCTTCCGACTTCGATCAACGATTCAATTGTAGAATAGCAAGTTGTATTCATGTGCGACATACGACATACGACAAACGACTAACGATAGTCGACATCGACATACGACTGAATGTAGAATGGATCTAAGTGTTATGAGAATTCTTGTGCTTAGACCCAGAAGTCAATCCAAGAACTATATTAACATCTTAGACATTATATTTAAGATGGTTTTAAAATGAAAACGGGCTATACCGGGAATACCGTCCCATATTTCGCGTTTCACATTTATAGGTCTTGCGGAACAAAAAGCAGAGAAACGACAGAGAGCGTTAATTTTAGAGAGAGACGCTTGCAAACTGAACACACCATGTAATCCTTTCACCATGGTACAGTTTGAAGAATTCAATCAAAGCCGCATTAGCGACTGAAAACATTAAGTTTGTTCTCGTTGCATACTCCAAATTAACTTAGAGAGTACTTGGATCACAGGTAAGGTGGCGGTTGAAGCAGTTGCATTCATGTGCTCCAATGTTCAATGACACGAACGGATATAGTGAGCCTGTCATTTAATCTAATCCATGAGACTATTTAAATGAATCGAACATGACTTGTTCGTTTCGAGTATTTTGTGTCACTTCGATTATTTGAAAAGCATTTTTATACAACATAAATGCGTTTTTAATAAATATAAAAGTTATATTATATTTTAAAGTTTTAGGGGTCACTGATTTCGAATTTGGAATTAAAATTTATAAATAATATAATATATTATAGGACTATTATAGGATCAAAGTCTTAAACGGTCTAGCTAGATCTTAAATACTTGTATGATTCTTGTGTGAATTTATATACAACGTATGTAGTCTCCAGAAACACAAGAAGCATTTAATCCAGCTAGACCGTTTAAGGTTTTGATTTCTATAGTTTATGTTATTTATTTTATTTTATTTTATTTTATTATTTTATTTTATTAATATTATATTATATTGTTATATAATATTTTTATATTTATGTAAAAAATTTATTAAATGCATTTTTATATAAAATGAATCTGAAATACTTTTTTCGATACAGTACGTTTTCAACCATTATGCATGCGTAACATGCCCTAATCGCATCATCTTCTGAGGTGAGGCAAATGAAGCGTGCTCTTAATTGATCCATGGAATATGCTCTAACACGACGCGAACATCTAGTTGCCATTTATTAGTTCCGGTGACGCGACGTATTGAGCATGTTGGAGCGACGCAAACAAACTTATTATTTAAGATGATCTTAAAATAAGAACCGATTATGAATATTGACCTCTGATTGGTGCATGACATCTCAAGATTGAACTTAAGACGGTTTTGAATATAAAAAGTCATTTTGATCTTTGTTACATGACATGCTTCATGGCTCCTGCAAACTGGACGCGGAAATGTACTTGTCGCGCAACAAAATGAGACGCGGTAACCAATGAACACATTAGGAGCTGTAAGCTTATTTATTATTGGCTATCGCATCATATTTTGCCTTGCGGCAAGCGTTTCCGTGGTGTAAAAGCCATTACGCCGAAGATATAAATCGATGTTATGAAACTGTTATGACCAATCATAGCTATTTCTCTGAAGAATGGAATAACCGTGATTGGCCAATTTCATAACATCGATGTTATAACTTCGGCGTAAAGCGTGCCGTGTAAACGTAGTAATTGGTCGTATCGTAGACGTCGCAAGTCACAAGATTGTTACTTCAACCAATCTGATGTTTTAATTTTAAAGTCGTATGATGTTTACGACGCTTCCGACACTACGATCAATGTAGAATGGCCTTTAAGAACTGACTATGAATACCGGCCTTTGATAGGTTAACGTACGCAACTGTATTCGCGCAAGTACGTGGTGATTGGTAAACTCGTGCTGTAGAGAGGATACTCTATAATTTTAGCATTTCACTTTTAAGGTGCCTTTTCTTCCAGACGCTTGACGCTCATTTTCGACATCAAAATAAGTCAGTGATAGAAATTGACGAATATCAAGCATTAAATTTGATCACGTGATTTATTTTGACGCTAAAAATGTGTGTTGAACGTCAGCATGAAAATGTACCTTTAAATTTCGCCCCATGGGGGCCAAATTTATTAGAGAGACTGTATTGTTGTATGTAATTATATATGTACATAATCATGGACACCATGGTTTCAACAGTGTCAGTGAGCTGAGCGACAGTGATCAGTTGGGTTAAGTGTGGTGAGTCGTATGGGTGAGATGTCGGTGCGTTCGCGACACTTTGAAATGTCAAATTCGGCGAAAATTTACGGTAAGTCCGACTATCGCCGCCATGTGAAAGTTGCACCCACAGTAGCGTGCGTAATCTTCGTAGTTGCATTCGTCACTATCTGGAGCAATCCGAGGATCTGAGCACAAGAATTGTCGTAACACTTACTTCGACTTAAGTTGTAGACGTAAGTAACGCACAAGCTTTCAAGTTTGACGTACAACTTATTACCGTATCTTCAAGAGACGGCAAATAGTCGTATATCATACGTCAAAGCTTGTGCGTCTTACGTTTACAACTTAAGTTTCTAGTAAGTAAGTGTTTATATGACAATTCTTGTGCTCAGACTCTGACTCGTCCAATCGGATGTCGATTGCCGCATTCTGTTACATACTTTTTTCTCAATCCAAAAGTCTGAAAAGAAAAAGTCCCGCATTCTTTCGTCCTTTCTCTTTCCTTCTACTGTCTTGCCGAGATATCGCAAAGGTATCGTAATTAATTGCTATGGCGGGCCATAAAACTATCACTGTTGTGCTTCCTGTATGTTATGAGATGGGAAATAGGGTCTCTCTCTCTCTCTCTCTCTCTCTCTCTCTCTCTCTCTCTCTGCGTGGTTTCTTGATTGCCGTGATGATCGAATGATGATCAAATGAAATAACGCAAGATATATTCTTGACAGACTAACAGATGTTTATTTTGCATATGTATGCGAATCTGATAAATTGTAAATAGCGAGATAATTGGATAACGGAGCTATCATATGTACTGATGTATTTGCACTGTTTGCAGAGAGATACATGAGCATATGCAGTGGAAGCTCCCTCCCTCATTTGTATCAAATTTGGCAGGAAGAAATAATTAAATACATGATGGAAGTAGAATATAAGTATAATATAATATAATATGATATGATATGATATGATATGATATGATATGATATGATATAATATAAGCAGGGTTGAGATGTATTAAACATAACATATTATACATGGTTTTTATAATGTATAATACCGTATGTTATACATATTATATGTACATTTTATACATATGATAATATTTATATGCAGTTAGTCAAAGAAACATTTTTTATTATATTATATTATATTATACGTAAGAAACTACTCACAGCTCTAAATTGCCCAATCTGAATATAATATAAGTATATTACTTCCATCATGATTAAATTATGAAAATCATTGGCTATACATTCAGTAGAGAAAGCAGCTTTGCAACTGTTGTAAAAGTCTTTAATATGATTGCTAATACATTTAGATTCAGTAAGGAATTAAATAAAAAGATTGCTAATAATTCTTTATTTAAATGTTCTCTAAAGTAAAGTGCCGAAAATTTGATGTGCCTGGGTCCATCCAAAATCACAAATATATCTGCATAATTTGAATAAAATATTAAAACTACATGTGTATTTTACTGAAACAGTATGAAATTAATAATGTTTAGTATGCAAAAGTAATGAAATAAAAAGAAATTGATTTTTTGTATATTTTTTCTTATGGAAATTTAATATTTTGTCATTTCAACATTAAATATTTTTTCAGAATGTCCGATAACTTATTACTTTTTTGTGACCATTACAATTGTAATTTTTTAAAATTATTATAATCTTGTCTTTTAGAAATATCTATGATAATGTTTATGTGCAGTTAGTCAAAGACACTTCTGATCCTTATTTGTCACTAGGTTATTTATCAAAACATTTATCAAAAGTTACATTTTCAATATTTTTTTTTCTTACTCCATTGATAACCTCATCTAGAATTTTGCATACATCAAGTAACTCTAACTTTATTAAAAAAATTAGACATTTCTATGATAACTCAATTTACTGTAGAACCATGGAAAAAAACTTCTTCTTCTACTATGTGTAGAACTATTCTAATAGTTTAATTTACTATTGCCATTTCTACTAATGTATAATAGACTACTTTTACACAGCTCAATTTACCGAAGTTATAATAGCAATCTTAGGAAATGACTAATCACAGTCATTCCATTCTTCAGAGGAATAATTATAATTGGCCTTCAGCTTCATAACATTGATGTTATAATTTCAACATAAATTGAGCTATGTAAAAACATAGTAATAGATTAATCTTGGTTCAACTTACTTTTCGTCTTTTTCTAATTCTAAAAATTAGAAAAAGATCAAGAATATTGATTCATGATTAAGAAAGATCTACATCGACGGAAACAGGCATAACGCAACGATTTTCTAATGAGAAGTTACTGATTTTTTTATTAGTACTATACTCTTTTATTAGACATTAGAAGATTTAAAAAAGAAGGCACACAGTTTTTCTGATT